CCTGCTATTCTTACAAATCGCTAAATGGTATCACTTGGGGAGTAGCAGAAAGAAGCAGAGGGCACGGGCACAATTCACCAGAACAAGCTTTGAGCAGCCAGTACATCCTAATCCACTGGGTGAATTATTTTGTTACTAATACACTAGTTTTAAGTATTCATCAAATCTGATTTGTTGTAGGATTCCAAGGACTTAACTCATATATATATAAACTTCCTGGGTTTCCCATCTGTATGTGTTCATAAATCATCATCTGTTTGTGAATTCATTGGTTTTCAAAGTATCACTGAAGTATAAATTTTGATTATTTTTCCCCCAAAAAAAATTTATATCATCCACTTCAAGGCTTTGCTAGAGACTTAAACCAAAGCAAACCAAAATTGTCAGCTACTAAAATTATCTTTGAGGCCAGTGCCCCGGTCAGATACAGCTGATACTATCAAACAGTTACAAAATTCAGTTCTATAATTTTATCAGACCTACTTCATTGTTTCTGGTGCTTGTTTCTTGGTCAAAATTTTGTTCACTGTCTGCATAATCTACAGAAGTTGTACTTACTTATTGTAAAGCACAATGTCTGGCAACCAGATGTGTTTGGCAGGTATTCTCAGCATCTTTATCCCTTCATAGTCCGAGGGCTTCCAAGCCAGACGATAATCAATCCACTCCTACGAGAAGAATTGGAGAGCAGTGATGGGAGTTTCCAGACCAGCCCTAACAAAACAACCATTTGATGGAGTGAAAGCATTTGTGGTTTGCAAGGGCACATCTCTGTGGGTTTGGTTACCTGGTTCAGCCAGACATTTGTAGTCATGATCTGCTCCCGTTCATTCTGCAGGGAAAAATGGAGACAAAAGTTGGCCTCTAAAATATTTCACTTGATTGCAGCAACAAGATTTATTCAGTGGGGTTTTGAGCATGTCTCCAACTGTGCAGCATGACTTTGCTCAGTGGATTTCAAGGTAGGCATTTCTCTGCAGGTAGGATGGCCAGTCTCATCCTATGTGATGATGATCAATAGTAACCCCACGAGTGTAGAGCTCCAAATGCCTTTTAGCAAGAACAGTTATGGCAGGAGTGATTTGGGGACAATCACCACCACCCTACCCAGCTGATTTCCTCCCCTCACCCCACTTCTCCACCTTTGATTTACAGAACAGAAAGTACATTTGGCCACTGGGAGGGCCTCCACGAGGTGGTGTGAGGTTGATGTAAGGTTTGCCATGTGAGCTCTCAGCTGGCAGGCTCTGTCCTGGAACTGCTGTCTCTCTGCAGAGCAATCCAGAAGAGAAATCTCTCTACAGCAGATTTGTCAGAAGGATTTCTGCAGGAAAACAAGTTAATTCTCTGATCCTGAAAATGCTTGGGATTGTTAGAGCCTATAAAATGCCTAATTTTGTGTTCTGCTTGAAGAGTGAGGATACAGAGGGATAGGGACTGAGCTGTGCTGTTCTCAGTCCCTACCCATTCATCTGCTCTGTTTAGGCTGTTGATCACTGGGGCCTCTGGGACATCTTGTTTTTTATGCCCAGAATCCGAAATCTTGAGGACCATGTGCCAGTGGTGGTAGTGCAGTGTGTAGGGAGGTGTGTCTGTGTCCACCAGTCACCTGGTATACATGGCATTATATCCTGTATATATATATCTGTACACACACAGAGGCTGAATATATGTATATAAAATATATTTTCATCTGTCTATCTATCTATCTATCTATCTATCTAACTAATATATATACACACAGGCTAGATATTATATATATATATATATATGTAATATCCAGCCTGCATGTGTGTATGAAACCTCAGCTGTTGTACAGTTTCCCTTTTGTTCCATCTGTGTCTCTCTCATTTCTTGTTGAATTTCAGACTCTAAATCCTCAAGGTCTCTCAAAGTTTGCAGCAGTGCAGGCAGTAGCCCTTGCACAGATTCTGGCAGGGAGGCAGCCATCTGTGTCTTTGTCACCCAGGGAGAGAGCAGCACACACAGGAGCCCTGATTCAGGAAATGATTCCCACTTCTGTGCTGGCTCTTGTTCCAGTGCAGTAAATGCTAACCTCTCTTGGCAATGATGTGTTTGTACCTTGGAAGAACATGCTAACCTTGTGGGTGAAAACGTCTTTCAGACCCATTGAAGAAATTTTTATTGAATATGAGCAGTTGCGTAGATGAGGATTGTTTTAACCATGTTAAGCTATTCCAGCCAGAATTAATATGCCTTTTTCTTTACAACATTCCACTGTTCTTTGCTTATATGTGTGAGATTTTGATCTGGCTTTGTAGCTTGTTTTCAAACCATTGAACCTCTTCTTTGAAAGAAGCAGTAGAAGATGGTTTAGCATTGTGGGCACAGTCCAGGATGGATCCTGACCTGGGGTAACTTACTGGAGCTGTACTGAAACCAGTGGAATGATTTTGAATTTTAGACCTATGCAGTTTTATAGGATGAAGATCTGGCCACTGTCCTTGATTGCTTAGGCATAGATTGATCTCCCTGTAGCAGCTGCATTATGAGGTAGAAAACCAGTAAATTGCACGTGTAGGCTGTGCCAAGTAGTATTGTACAAACGAGAAAAGAGCTGGGACACTGTAACACTAATATGACTATTAGAGTGCTGTGCAGGTAGTAATGAATTAAAAGGCATAGCCTAATTTGAACTTACCACACTGATGAGCTGTGCCAGGGAAACCTGCAGTTCTATGGACACCAACTGGGAGGAGTTGACAGCCGGTCGAATTAACTTGTTGTACCTGTCAGGACTCAGGAGGTGGTTCATCAGCTTTTCTTCAGCGTCTGCTGCTGTGCTTCCTGTAAAGCATCAACAGGATTATAGAAGAGAGACCAAAGTGACATGATAGAGGGATCACAGAATCCCTGTGCATCAGATCATCTTCATGGCATAATGAGGGCTTTTGACTTTCCAGAGACTGTAGGCTTATGTGAGCAGAAGGATGTGGTGCTTGCACCAATATCTGTCCTGCTGAAGCTGATTGTCTTTCACAGAGCACAGATCAAAGCAGATCAACTGGAACCCTTCAGGTTTTTTCACAGTAAAATGTGAAGCTCAAATTGATATATTCTTTTGGGATTACACTTAGAAATAGACACCACCCTCTTAATAGCAGCAGAAGAATTATTCTATGATCCAAAGGCAGGGGGTCCAGCTGTGACTTCTCTCTTTAGTGCTGTAGGAGACAAAGTTTCAGGTACAGGTAGAAATTAAAAGACTGAATTAAACATGGAAAACCAGAGGATAAGCTGAAGGATACTTAAAGATTTTTTAATGACTGAGGACTCTTTGGTAGCTACTGATGATTCTGTTTCAGAATTTGAAAACTCAAGGCAGTATGTAAGCCTTAGTTTGTGTGAAAGCAAAACCTGATTTGTGGACTAGCACAAATACCATAAATCTTAGATTGCTAAAGCTGGAGTTTAATGATTACAAAATATAGTATCTACAGGTTACTATCAAACAATCCTGAACATTCTCCATGGAGGAGAACAGCTTCTGGCACAACCCCAGAGGGAGCTGAATCTGTTCTCTTGTTCTTGAATGTGCTTTTTAAAGCCATTCTAGTGGACTTTTCAAACCACTATAGACCACATGGTAATACTGCTGACTGAGGTCCTGGTAACATCCTGCCACCAGAATTGACCCAGAGAGACTGTGCTGTGTGTCAGGTTCTGTGATGGTGAGGGACACAGGTGTTTCCTGAAAGCAGGGTCTAATCCAATGGATACAATGATTCTTCCACAGGAAGGGTCACCTAATTCAGCTGTAGATATTGCAGAGATGAGGGTAGTGTCCCTACAGCATTCTTGCTTCATTATTCCCCAGAGCAATTCCAACAGTAAAAACCATTGCCCATGCAAGTATTTTAAATTTGTAGTACATTAATTTGTTCTGTTTTTTTTTAAGTTGGAGCATATCTATGAGATCCAGAGACAGGTAGATATCCAAAGGCAGTCCAAGTTTGTGTGCACTTCTAGAAGGTGCCTAGTTTCCATGTGGACTGGGTTGGAAGTTGTTAGGGTGAGCAAGTCTCTTGAAACTCGGTTCTTCTGAATCCAACTCAGGTTAAAAAAATACCCCAAGAACTTCTTGTTTCTGATCCAGTAAGAGAGTGGAGAGATGAAAAAGGAAACATTCTCGAACAGAGCTTTCACATCTAAGAACAGCTTTTACTCAAGCTCTGTGGAAAGGCTGAGATGAAACACCAGGCCTGATTCAAATCCTTTAAGACCAGCATATGCTACAGCACTGGTAGCCCAAATTTTGTCACATATACTTAACCATACCACTGTTCTTCAAAATAGGCTTCCCAAGTACTTCCCAGGCCGTTTGGGAAGATAAGTTTGGATGAATGCATCTGTGTTGGTTGGGCCAGTTTGTTTTTTGATTCACACTTGCTTTGTGCCTCCCTGCAAGTCGTTACAAAAGCCCTTGTATCCTGTTATATTTTAATATTACAGTTATTCTCAATGTAAGCTGCCTAATCAAAATCTTATCAAAGTAGAGCTATGCTGATTCTTGCTAAGCTCCAGATTCTAGATTTTTCTTGTGTATTGCATTCAAGGAAGAGCTAAATTTGATATTGTAAAAAAAAGGGGGCCACATTTTGTGTTTATAAGGATAGATTAGAAATCTTGTGGTAGCTAAAGAGAGAATATTGATTATTATGTTGTTTGGTTTGGTGGGGTTTTATGTTGGTTTTGTTTGTTGGGTTTTTTTAACAAACTTTCCCACTGTTGCATAGGGAAGTGACATAAGCAGATGGCTAAAAATAAATTGTCATTTGGTCACTGAATGCTATTAGCAAAGACTGAGTTCTTGTTTGAATTGTTAAATATATTTTCACTGTTTTTCTGCCTTTGCCCATAAATATTCTAGCCTAGAGAGTATTTGCTAAACAGAGAAGAAGCAGTAGAAATTGCAGAATATTTGCAGAAAACTAATTCTGGATTTGTAATTAGGTTTTTTCTCTGAAACCTGCTTTGAGCAATCCCAGTTGTCTGGTCTGCAAATCAAACCAGGGTCGTCTGGTCTGGATGTCTGACGAGAGCAGCTCAGATTTCGAGGTACTGACTCTGTTAATAAATTTGATACAGAATAATGACAAGACACAATTCTAAAAAATTATTTGTTCAACAGTGAATCCCTTTAAGAAATTATTATCTGTTCTTAGTGAGGGGATTCCTGTAATGAATAATTCTTTGTAAAATGGCATCCCATGCCAATCTTTATAATTTAACAATCAGAAGTAAAGGTCAAAGGGGCTCCTCTTCACCTCCCTCAGCTGCCTGTGTCACACACCACTAGATGTCAGCCGTGCCCTGCCTCAGAGCTTGCCAAAGTCAGGGGAAAGGAAAATGTAAATAAAAAGAAGTGGTTCTTTTATAAGTTTTATAATCTATTTTCCATTAACAATCTACATATTAACCAGATGGCACCTAATGAAAGCAAAATTCCCAGGCATTCAGGTTCATCTTTCTGTGCCTTTCATGGCAGTAACCAGGCATTAGAAACTCCTCTTTCTCCTCTCAGAGTTGGAACAAATAAAAGTGCAGTTTCTCTCCAAACTGGTTTTTTTTTTTCCCAAATAACAGTGATCACCGCAGATACTGCAGAGGGAAGACTGATGCTTTTAGATAAAGGATTGTAACAGCAGTGAGGAAGGAATCCTGATCTGGGGCTGGAGTATTTTTGTGTACTGAAAGCAGTAATAGAACACATTGGGGTGGATCCTGAGCTGGGGAAATGATTTCAGCTTCACTGAACACACCACACATCTGCTCTGTGACGAGGACAGCAGTTGCCACGTAACCTGCAGTAACAATCTTCAGTAAGTTTGGTTTCTCTGTGGGAGCATGACCATTAAAAAAAAATTACATCAGGATGCTTCCAGTCTCACAGCAGGAGACACAAAACCCTTTCCCTTTTACATGGTCTAATTTAAATGCATAAAGTGAAGTAACTCGTCATCCTGTGTTATGTTGTTTGTTTTCAGTGTAATGACAAATTTGCTGGAGTGATTTCCACAGAAAAGAAGCAAATACAGAAACACAGGCAAGTCCACTCTTATCACTAAATTTAAAAATTTAACATAAGGCATGTTTCCTGTGTTTCTCTGACTTCACTTATTGTTATAAATGTTGAAATAGCATTTGTTTAAAAATAATTTTGTAGCATGTGTTGTCATTTTAGTTCTTTACTCTCTCACAAATAACTTATGTGGACAATAGTGACATACCAAATTCCCTTCTGTAATTAGTAAAGAGCAAGCAAGAAGCAGCAATGAGACAGTTCCATTATCTTCTCTAAAATTACTTTGTGATGTTGTTTCTTTTCAGCATACTCTTGAGCAAAAAGGTTTTCATGACCTCTTAGAACAACAGCTGCTAAATTGGAATGCTTATTGTTCCAGTGGAAGTACCAGTGAATTTACTGTAGTTTAAAGAATTTAAATTTTTTAATTAATGCAAAAAAAAAAAAGGAAATAATAAAGGCTTTTATAAACTAAGAATCTAAAGTGGGTCCTCACTTTTCATTTGTTAGAAAGCAGATGTTTTATAAAGTTACCTTTCAGTGATTGAAGGAAAAAAAACAACTCTGGGATGAACAGGTAATAATGAGAAATGTGTGATCTTTGTCTTGGTTTGATTACAGCCACTTTCTCTGAGAACACTTCACTGGAGTCTCTCCACGGGAAGAAGCTCCCGTGGTAAATGCACTATTTCCTGCTGCTGTCAGGCTGTTCATGTTGGCTAAAACACATGGAAGAAATCCTGATAGACTGAAGAAAATGTATGTTTGCTTTTTTTAGCATATATTTATATATTACAACTTAATTTAGGCTATTCACGTGCTAATAAAAATAATTAGGAAGTATGAACTTCGCGACATATAGGAACTTGAGCAAATAATTGTAGAGGGATGAGAGCTGCCTTATTTATGGTTCATGGCTCATTTTTTTCACCCTCAGCACAATATCTGCTTTTCCTATCACAGATGATCCTGAGAGCATCTAAAGGGATAACATTTAGTGATTATTATTGTCATCTCCTACAGTTCTGTCATTTTACATCCAACTTAACTGTCTGTCCGTACCCATCGCAGTGCATTTGCAGATACCAAACAAGCCCAAAACAACACTAGAATAATCAGTTTTATGCATCCTCTCAAAGTCTGCAAAACCTCCTGAGGTGATAGTTATGAATTGTCTGTGAGCTTTTATCCCAGTCCTGCCTCCTGGCCCCCAAAGCTATTGCTGCTCTGAAACTGTACCCGAAAGAAAAGGTCACTTACCGTTAAAACAAAGGGAGCCCACTACAAAGAGAAAGAGGGTGTACATTTTCCTCATGGCAGTAACAGGGAGAGGTGGATTACTGTCCCTCAGTCAAGCCAGCAGGCAATAGGCTCTGTTGTCAGGGATGCACAAGGAAGAGATGGAAAAGCAAACCTGAATCTTGGAGGTATTAAACGCCCGGAAAAGAGACAGACAGTAGGACCTGACAGAAGCGTTCTGCAAAGTGGAGTTTTCGTGAGCAGAGTGGTCCCTCCCCCTTTGCAGCTGTTTAAAGAGCTTTGTGAAGAGGGAAAGCACGTAAGGAGAGGGAACACAATGTGATAATGTCGGAAAAGAGGAAAGGAAAGCACAAGCTGAAGGAACACAGTGTGCGAAACACAACTGCTTAATTCTTGCTGCTAGATAACATGTAGAAGGCTTTCTGGTTAATAAGTGCAATGGGTGGGAATAGCTGTGTGGGAAAAGCTGGATACAACTTTGTGCCATAAAACCTGCTAGTGAAAGAAATTAAAGCCCCAGCAGAGGGTAATTTTCTCTGTCAAGGGAGAAAGTTTATTGCCTGTCAACCCTTTTCCTCTCCAAGGCCCACACATCTGATCTCTTTAAAACAGAGCTCCAAAAAGCTTTCTGGGAGCAGCAGGAGAGGAACAGAGAATTTGGCTTTAGCATCTGATGGGATTTTTTAAAGAAACCTAAAGCAACCTGTTGTGAAGTAGCAATAGCAATAAAGATACCCCAGAGGAGCATTAGAGGCTCCATGGAATTCATCTTTTGAAGCTAAAGGGTTCAGCAAAGTGTAGAGTGTCATTTGTTTTGGGACTTGCATGTGGGAAGATTTGTGTAGAAGGAAGGGGCAAGATCATATGTGCCCTCTGCAAGCACTGTAGTCTATTTTATATCTCTATCTTATACCTCTATCTTCTATCTATTTACCTTATATAGTCTCTGGATATTTTCTATCCAGGCTGAAGTCCTGTATAGAAAAAAAAGGGTGTTAATCTTCTAAATACTGTTTTGTCTCCATATTGAGGTTCCTGTCTGCTTCAGCTGGCCACAGGATGCAGCTCTGCTCTTGTCCCATCTCCCAACAGACTATGACACCACTGGCTGGGATGGAGCCATTCCTGATTTATCAGCATAACACACCACACTTCTGCATCTGGCACAGTTGCCACCTGACTGGGGTTGTTTGGAGAAGATCACCTGCTGCTGTTTTTAGGCAAGCTGTCGTCAGTATAGTGTTGAATAACTCATTGCCTTCACCTTAAATGTTTTAGCCACCTTCTTTTTCCACTAAATATTTTATAACTTTGTTGTCTTTAAAGGAGGTAGCCTGGTACACAAAGAGACTCTACTAAATTTTTTGGTAATTGTACTGTATACAACCTATGGAACTTCTCTAAACAGGCTATTTATTATTACTGGCTCAGTTCTTTGGGTTAGGAGGATGAATTCAGTGAGACAAATGGAAAAGCACTGCATGGACTTGTCTTTGGATAAAACAAGTTGTCACATCAGCTTTGATGAAGTGGCCTATGCTGTTGCCTTCCCTTCCTCTGAAAACTCAAGGTATGTCCACTGTACCATATCCTCCACTGAGGACTCCCAGCAGTTCTTTAAAAAGTTCACAGCCTTCTGCTGTGAGAAGAATGGCTTATATGTTCTCACCTTTCTTCACCTGCAATCTCAACCAATTTCCTTTTATATACCTTTAGTAAAATGCCCTCTGTTATAATCTCTCAGGTTTTATAGTGTTTTTAACTTAAAACCCCCAACTTTGATCCCTTATAGATTCTGAATTTTTATATATATATATCTAAATGCATGCCATCAGTTTCTTTAGAGGTGGATTTATTGTATCTAATGCTATGCAAACACCTCAGATATAAAAGGTTTTGTGGCCTATGTAGGAATTGATGGCTGATGATTTCTGTATACTTAAAAAATCGTTACTGCACACAGTTGCTGACTGTTAGCCACACCAACAGAAATGCTCTGGGTTTGTTGCTGATCTCAATTATTAAGTTGAACCTGGTATCAGAGATAACCTGTGCTAGCTCCTATCTGTTATTTTTGGTCATTTTTCTGCTTTCATCACTCCTTTTCCCCTCTTATTCACTATCCCTTAGCTGGGATTGGTTTAAGTTGGGGTTGTTTAGCCTGGAGAAGAGAAGGCTCTTGGAGGGACCTTAATGTGGCCTTTGAGTCCTTAAGGTGGTAACTACTGTTTTAACAGGACAAGGAGCAATGTTTTTAAACCAGAAGAGGTAGATCCAGACTAGATCTAAGGAAGAAATTTTTTACAGTGATGGTGTTGAAACACTAGAACTGGTTTCCCAGAATGGTGGTGGATGCCCCATCCCAGGAAGCAGAGTCAAGTTGGACTGGGCTCCAGTCTAGTTGAAGATGTCCCTGCTCATTTCAGGGGTGGGTTGGACTAGGGGACCTTTAAAAGTCCCTTCCAACCCAAATTATTCTATGATTCTAAATAATGTGGAATCTGAGGGGGAGGATGTTGGTTTCAGGAGAGAGACAAACAGGAGAAGTCTTCTACTTGGATGAAAAGAGCCAGTGCAGTCTGAGTGAGTACCTGTGACCAGACTAACTGCCTGAAAATATGACTATTTCTGTGTTCTTCTCCAGTATTTAACTAACAGCATGTAGAAAAGGAGCCCTCAGAAAATTGCACTCTTGCAACAGTGACAGACCCTGGGAGGTGTGTCCCAAGCACTGTTTATCCCGAGCCTTTTGCTT